CATAAAAAAAAAAAAAAAAAAAAAAAGTGAATTATTTAAGTTTGAAAAATTGTGTTAATTTGATTGCTCAATCTTTCATTTTCTTGTTTTTGTTTGTTAATGATCCATTTGGATTGCCCACTTGGTTGTCCCATCTATAAACATCTTTTTCAACACATACTTGGTAGGGAATTTGAAGTATATCTATGGAAGATTTTGTGATTTTAATCGAAAAATGATCCTTATATTCCCGAAAAGGGTATGTGAAATCTCTTTCGGGATTGGAAAGGAGAATGAAACATACCTTAGAAGAATGTAGAAACCTCTCTCTAGTACACACGTTTGAAAATCGTGAGGCTAACGGCGATATATAACAAGCTAAAATGAACAATATATGTTAACCGTGGGTTTGAGCTGTTACAAATGATATTAGACCCAGATATGAATGGCGTGCCAGTGAGGATACTAAGCCCCCAAAGAGGTGGATTGTGAGATCCCACATCGGTTGGAGGGGGAAACGAAACATTTTTTTTTTATAAGAGTGTGAAAACTTCTTTATAATAAACGTGTTTTAAAACTGTGAAGTTGACAATACGTAACGGATTAATTTTTAATAATTATTCATTTACAATTTAATATTATTTATTATATAAAAAATCTAAATTTATTAGTACAATAGCACGACATATAAAACAATTATGTTTAAGAAATAATCTAAAAAGTATAGTATATGAACACGGTTAATACGAACTAAGGTTTCCACACCCTTATCATAATCCACCTCCTTAGAAGTCGGGCTACAGTTTGGTGCTTAGCTCTAATACCATTTGTGAGTCAAGCTCACAGTTTTAAAACATGTCTATTACAAAGAGATTTTCACACTCTCATCACAATCCATCTCTCTTAGGAGTCCATCGTTCTTGTTGCACACCGCCCAGTGTTTAGCTCTAATATCATTTGTAAGTCAGACTCACGGTTTTAAAACACATCTATTAAGGAGAGGTTTCCACACCTCATCACAATCCACCTCCCTTAGTAGCCCAGTGTCCTTGCTGGGACACCACTCGGTTGGCTCTAATACCATTTGTAACAGCCCAAACCCACCACTACCAGATATTGTCTGCTTTGGCCGTTACATGTTGTCGTCAGCCTCACGATTTTAAAACAGATCTATTAGGGAGAGGATTCTACACCCTTAAATGCTTCATTCTCTTCTCCAACCGACCTGAAATCTCGCATATACTATCTGTTTCATAACTATTTATTTATTTATAAAAAAAATTACTCATAAACATTATTTTATTACTAATTTCTTTTTGTTTTGTTGTCTATTTTTTAAAATTGAAATAAAAATAAATTAATATAATTTTTTATAAGATTTAAATAATGAATTAATTAACCCAAAATTAAATAATGAATGAATTAATTAAGCAATGTTTGGTCAATTTTGTTTTAAATAAAGCTTCAACTAATTAATTAATGACATTAAATGTATTTGGGCAAACTTTAGGGGAAGCTTTTTCTACATTTATCACTTAAGGCTAATATCATATAGTTTTACAACACCAACCACTTTAATTTAATTACGAACCTACACGACATTTTTTTTAGGTTAAAATATGGTTCGGTCGACCTATTTTACAGCTTCATTCTACATTCATCTCTATAATCTTTCAAATATCTAATTTAGTCCCTGTACTTTCAATAAATCCTAAATTTAGTCCTTCTAACTTAATTTTCATCGAAATTAAAACGAAAATTTTTCATATCAGAAAATGTAATATATAGATATGATTCTAATACTTATAAGGGAACGTTGTCAAAACCGTTTTTAGGGTTAGAACGTTGTTGGGTCGATGTATTTTTTAGTTTTATTCTACTTTCGTCTCTATACTCTTTCAAATATTCAATTTAGTTTCTGTACTTTCAATAAATCTTAAATTTAGTTTTTCTACAATCTTGTCGTTGATAATAAGGGTCTCGAGTTAGGTGGCTGTCTCATAGAGGGAATGAGCCGAGTTATCTTCGTAACTAGATACAATAAGCGCATAAAACATATATGTATATTTTTTTAAAATAAACTACCGTAAGTT